CGTCATGTGTCAGTGTCTGCTTTACGCGTGTGTGTTTGTGTGTGTGTTTGTTTGTGTGTGTGTGTTGTATGTGTGTTTGTGTGTGTGTGTGTTTGTGTGTGTGTGTATGTGTTGTGTGTTTGTTTGTGTGTGTGTGTGTGTGTGTTTGTGTGTGTGTGTGTGTTGTGTGTTTGTTTGTTTGTTTGTTTGTTTGTGTGTGTGTGTGTGTTGTGTGTTTGTTTGTTTGTTTGTTTGTGTGTGTGTGTGTGTGTGTGTGTGTGTGTGTGTGTGTGTTGTGTGTGTGTGTGTGTTTGTTTGTGTGTGTGTTTGTGTGTGTGTGTTTGTTCGTTTATTCGTTTTTCTGTGTGTGTGTGTGTGTGTGTGTGTGTGTGTGTGTGTTTGTTTGTGTCTATGCATCAGCGGGTGTTTGTGTGTTTATGCGGACATGTGTGTGTGTGAGTATGTGTTTGTGTGTGTGTATTTGTGTATGTATTAGTTTGTTTGTTTGTGTTTTTGTTTGTTGGTTTGTCTGCGATAGTAATGAGGGTTATCAGATTTTATGAGGCAAGACGCAGGAATCTGATGATGAAAAGGCTGGCGAGAAAAGAACAAAAAATAACAAGGAAGAAATGAAAAAACAAACAAACAAAAAACGAATAAAAACAAGGAAGAAATAACACAACAAATACAATATACATAAGGAAAAGAAGTAAAGAAGTAAAGCAGAGAAGAAGATGATAAAAACGAAAATAAAGAAAAAAAATAGAGAGAACAAGGAAGGTGAATATCGTTAAGAACATAAAAAATACGAAAAAGAAGGGAAGAAAAGGATAAAAACAACAATAAAAAAAGATAAAGAGATAAGAAAAAACAAACAGAAAATAAAAGTAAGCGAGAAACAAAAACAAACAAACAGAAACACACAAAAAGGCGGAAAATAAAGCAAAAAAAACAAAAAAAACAAAAACAAAATAATAATAATAATAAATAAAAAAATAAAAAAGATAAATTGATAAATAAAGAAAAAAAGTTAAGTAAAGAAAAAAAGTTAAATACATTGCAATTCAAAAAATAGAAAAAAAGAAGCGTAATATCCCGAAGAACAATAAAAAACAACAAGGATAAAAAAGAACCACAACAACAACAACAAAAAAATACTAAAATGCGAGTCTCCTTAAGAACTTCATACCCCCCCACACACACACAAAAAACACTAAAGATAAACAAAAACAAATGAAATAAATTAATAGAATATGTATAAAAAAAAATAACACGTAAAAACAACAATTCAGTATCCCCCCTCAAGAAAAACAAAACAAAAAAAAAGGGGAGGGGGGGAGAACAATAGACACATATCCCTTAAGACATTAAGCAGGAGGAAAGGAGTCGAGGAGTCCTTCGCTCTCGCCTCCTCCTCCTCCTCCTCCTCGAGATATTCCGCTCGAGTCCGAAGGAAGGAAATTAGAAGTGTCACCGAAGCCAAGGAAGCCACCTGTCTCGGGCGTCAAGGAACTGGAATTCGCTCGGTGGGGGAGGGAAGGGAGGGGAGGGAAGAGGGGAGGGGGAGAAGGGAGGGGAGGGAAAAGGGAGGGGAGAGGGGAGAAGGGAGGGGAGGTAGGGAGGGAAGGGAAGGGGGGAAAGGGGAGGAGGAAGGGAGGGGAGGGAGGGGAGGGAGGGAGGGGGAAGGGAGAGGAGGGAGGGACGGGAGGGAAGGGGAGGGATGGAGGTGGGGACGGGTGGAGGGATAGGTATAGAGGGAGGGGAGGGATGTACGGGAAGGGGGAGAGAGGGAGGTGGGGTAGGAGGGAAAGGAGGAGGGAGGAGTGGAAGGGTAGATGGGGAAGGAGGGATGGGGGCTGGGGAAGGAAGGAAGGGGGGGGAGGGAGGGAGGGGTTAGAAAGGGTGGGGAAGGAAGGGGGAGAGGGAGGGAGGAAGGGAAGGGGGAAAGGGAGAAGGAGGAAGGAGGAGCAAGGGACGGAAGAAAGAGGGGAGGTAGGGAAGGAGGGAGGGAGGGAGGGGAAGGAAGGAAGGGGGGGAGTTAGGGAGGGAGGGAGGGAGGGAGGAAGGGAAGGAGGGAGAGGGAGGAAGGGAGGGAGGGAAGGAGGGAGGGAGGAAGGGAGGGAGAGGGATGGAGGGACGGAGAGAAAGATAGAAGGAAGTCTCTAGTTATCCCTCTCTCTCTCTTTCCCCTTCTCCATCATCCGTTGTTCTCTGTAGCCTTTTTTTCGCTTCCATCCTTGTTAATTGTCATGTCCTCTGTAGTACTCGCTTGACCGCCTGAAAGTACAAATTCCGTGTCTTTGTTGCTTGTGTGCGTGTTCCCTTTAATCTTTTTCTGCTTGTCATTGTTCCGTCCTTGTTAAGATGCATGGGATGTGTATTTGTGTCCGTAATGCGGGTGGATGTGCATTTGTAAATACGTACATAGACATAGGGAAAATCCACAGGCATTGACTATCCTGTATGTGCGTACATTATAGGATATCCTAGATGTATATGTATCATATTATATCATACACGTACATGCGTTATATAATTATGGCTTCCTGTTTCTGATCTTGCCAAACATCCTCTTTATCAGACATTCTTCAGTATATATATATATATATATATATATATATATATATATATATATATATATATATATATATATATATATATATATATATATATATTATATATATATATGTGTATATATATATAAATATGTATATGTATATAATACATATATATATATATATATATATATATATATATATATATATATATATATATATATATATATATATATATATATATATATATATATATATATATATATATATATGTATATATATATATACATATATTATATATATATATGTATATATATATATATATATATATATATATATATATATATATATATATATATATATATGTATATATATATATATATATATATATATATATATATATATATATATATATATATATATATATATATATATATATATATATATATATATATATATATATATATATATATATATATATATATATATATATATATATATATATATATATATATATATATATATATATATATATATATATGGGGAATGGGGAAGACACAGAAGGAGAGAGAGAGGGGAAGAGAGAAACGGAGAGAGAGAGAGAGAGAAGGAGAGACAGAGACAGGCAGACAGAGAAGGAGAAAGGGGAGGAAGAGAGGAATATAAAAAAAAACTCTTGTCTCCTCTACAGACACTCACAACAAACTTATAATTTACTTCATCCAATAAGGTTATGAAAATCTCATTTCTTATTAATCACATGTACCTTTATTTCGTACGTAAAGAAAATATATTGTCATTTTGCCCAACGCATAATATTTCTGCAGTGAGTGAGAACTATACCAACTCATTTCATAAAAGGACAATACAAACTGAACTATCTAGGTTGGTTATTAAAGACCTCACAAAAATAAAGCAGACAGTTACAATACAAAGAAAAGAAGAAATGTTTATATACCACAACATCGAAATCACCATTAAGTAACTAGGACAAATTAAGTATCATATTTCCGGTTATGATAATTATGAATAAATAAATAACCGATGTTTTGGTAAGTATTTTTTTTATTAAGGAATTTCATGTATTTCTTCTCGGAAATGGATAATGATAATGTCTTTTTTTTAAATATGCAGCCATAGATTTTGATTTCATTGAAAAACGTTTCTCACAGTAAGATAAAGTATAGTTATTCCTTTTAGTAAATGAATAAATAAATAAATAAAATAAAACATATTCAAACCATATTTTCAGAACTTGCAGAGAGCGAACTTCGCGCACCATATCACAACAAATACTCAAAAACGCACAGCAGAACAACACTGACATAATTATAATATATATGTATATATGTATATATATAGATCGTCTTAAGACCCACAGTGACGGTCCTAAGAATTTCACTGTAAAGCCATCCATTGAAAAGAGAGACCATAGTAGCAAGAGCATTTTTTTTTTGGCACTGTAAATGGCACTACTCTTCAGAAAGACGGTGCCACCACCCGGATAGAAGCAGAAAGGGGCAAAGGTCATGTATGTAAGAGGGGAAAGGGGGGGGGGAGACGGAGAAAGGGAGGGAGGAAAGAAGATGGAGAGAAGGAGGGAAGATGGAGGAAGGGAGGGGAGAAGATAATGGAGTAAGAGGGGAGAAGAATATGAAGGAGTGGAAATGAGGGAAGGGAAGGGGATGAAAATAAATCCTTATGTAAGAGCGATAGGTCAAAGGTAGCGGGTGTACTGAGGCGGAGAGAAAACGGTATAAAACAAGATGAAGATATGTGAGTGTGTGTGTATATATATGTATATATATATACATATACATTCATGTGTGTATATATATATATATATATATATATATATATATATATATATATATATATATATATATATATATATATATATATATATATATATATATATATACAATATGTATATATATATATGTGTAGAGACAGAGAGAGAGAGAGAGAGAGAGAGAGAGAGAGAGGGGGGAGAGAAGGACTGAGCAACATGCAGAAGTTTGGATAGATAAACAAATAGATGGATAGATAAATAGTTCGAAAAATAGAGATAGATAGACTGATAGACAGATAGACTGAAAGAGAGAAGAGAGAGAGAGAGAGAGAGAGAGAGAGAGAGAGAGAGAGAGAGAGAGAGAGAGAGAGAGAGAGAGAGAAAGAGAGAGAGAAACAAACAGAGAGAGGGAGAAAGAGAGAGAGAAACAAACAGACAGACAAAGAAAGGACTTTTAGAATGGCACTTGGACTATCCGAACAGAGAGGTTGGGAAATATACTGGACTTGGTAACTCATGTGAGCTCAGAGTTACGCCTCCTCTCTCTTGGCAGCCCGGGCTTAGTAGCGGCGAAGAAGTGCCACAGTGCCATTTCTAAGAGCACGTGGCACCTGGCAGCGCTAAATGGGCGAAGCTAAAACCTGCTTGTTCTCGTGTCGATTTCGTCCGGAAAA